CAACACAGATTCTTACCCACATGAGTTACTTCTCTTTATTAAAATTCTGAATGGCTTCCCAAGGCCTGTCCGAAAAGTACCATCGCCATCACTGGGTAATTTCCAGTTCTCAGTCTTCCTGGCTCATGGTCAAATTTCTGCCCTTCCTTGCAGCCCAAACAAATTGCCTTAGTTTCCAAATTTGCCTTAATACTTCCTGTCAGCAGGTGTCTATTCTCTCTCTCTCCTTTCACATGGTGAAGTCTGAGTGTGTCCCCTCCAAATCTTCACCAGTACACTTCCTTTTCTCTGTGTGACTTTCGCTTTCCTTCCATGTCCATAAAAGCTTTCCCCTACCCTGACTGACTGCACTCCCTAAGCAGAAGTGTGCAATACTTCTAGAAAAACACTGAAGTCCTACAGTCACCTGATCTGCAATTTGCTGTGTAGACGATGCTTGGTTTTACCTCTCTATATAACGCATTACTAAACATAGATTCGGTTTTTCTTAATTATATTATTTTATTAAAACATGAATTGTATATAACCTTCTTAATAAAAATGCATCAAGAATGAACTCCAGGTGTCGATTGTTGTATTCACTGTCCCAGTGCACAAAAAAAAAAAAAAAAATAGTAGCAGCAGCTTAGTAAAAACTCATTTAAAAATGAGCAAACTGGGTTTGTTTCTGTATATTTCCCTGTACAGTTTCATGACAAGAGAGAGGCAATTCCTTCTTCCACTGTACAGCCATCTATTAACAAAAATGATTCTAACATGCCACAACAAAATAATAATCTTCATTAATTGCAAATGGTTGTTAATAGATAATATAGACATTTGAGAAATAGACATTTTAGATTTTATGTTTTCCAATTTTGCTCTTGAATGGATCTCTAAATTTACACACTATTGTCCCATGATGCACGACTGAGTTTAACCCTCCATCTCTTCCTAATATCCTGCTATTTTTATGAGCTTCAATAGCCTGTTTTAAAGTGGTAGTTTCTTTAAGAAAATAATTACAATGTAAATTAGTCTTCAACAAATAGTAAGGCACATTTTGGAATTAAATGCCTAGGTATTGAAGCCTTGCTTCCTGATATATTTAAAACCATTATATAAGTTTAACCATAGCCATTCAATCTATGTATCTAGAAATATCATTCTTTCTTTTGCTAATGAAGGTCCTACGGCACAAATTTATTAAAGGTATACGTTTGCATGGGATAATAATTGGGTCGATAATATTAAATTCATAGGCTCATTATTTAATTGCAAGGGCAGATTATGAATACAGCTTCTAAAATGTATTTTAATGAAAAACACTACATCCTGACCTAATCATATCAACCTTATGCTATCTAATTAAGGATGCAAAAAAATCATTAGAGTTGCAAAATATTAGTTCCAGCTCCATCAGGCTGTGAGCTGCCCCTTCATGAATATATATATATTTTTTTACTCCATGATAAATAGTTAATGAGGTAAAAATGACAAAATTTGCATGTAGGCAAATTAGTTTAATAGAATGATGTCGTTTCTGACTACTGAAAGTGACCTTTTCCTTATCAAAAAAAAAAAAAATAGTTGAAACACTGTGAAATTATCATCTGACTATCTTAACACAAATGACAGATTGTATGTATGAACAATATAAAAATTATAAGATGCAATAATCTTAACTTCTCATCATACTGTAAATGTGTTCTGTGCTTTTGCATTTATCAATTTAATAAAAGGAAATAAAGCATATTATAAAGTGTCCATTGATGAAGCAATTTTTGTTCTAGATCATAAAAATAAGAAGCATGTGCTTAACAGTATTGTGAGACACATCTATATCAAATCTGTAGAACACTAAAATTCTAGACTACTTACATGAAATACTTCTGTATTAAAATGCCTATTCTACAGTTAATTTGGCATGTTAGATTATAAATGATTTTTTCCAAACTGGCACTATGTCTTGAAATCAGTATATCGATTACTCCACAGGGCAACCTTGCTTGCTATTGAAACAAACCAAACAAGCAAACAGAAGACAGCATTGATAAGAATAACATACAGAAATCAATCATCAAAGGAAGTTTTTGAGGTACAAATATCCAGAGTATGAAGATGCATAAACTTAAGTGGATATATATAAGTTTGTGTATACTAAAGAAACATAACCCCAAACCACAAGAAATAACTGCTATTTAATGGGTTTTCAAATGGTTTGCATAAATTATCTCCAGGATGCTCACCTCTGACGGAAGCTAAGCCTCTACTTGTGTAAAGGGAACAATAGCTATTTATCTAGACATATAAATTTCCTTCAAAGATCCGACTGAATTAAGCCAAAATATACTCAATGACTTTGATTAAATTGTTTAATTATTAATCAAAGTAAAAATTGTTAATCAAATTATCTTTTCTTTGATCCATTAGAATGTGTACACATAAAAATGTGGACCCTCAAAGGTTTGAGTTCTCCTCCTGATTTCTACTCTTGCTCATCAGGGGCCATACAAATTAGTTTACAAAGAACAGCATAAATCTTCAACCCAAGGAACTAAATAATTTGAAACCTCATTCAATTTTTTATCACATATATTAGCTGCCTCCTTCTCTGTTTTGGTCTCTGTCTTCATTCCCTTGTTAACATAGAACTAATGAATACTCGAATAATACTCGAATAGTTTTGTTTTCCTGTTTTGTTTTTTTTTCCTTTTAGCTGTTGTTTAACTCCAATAATTTTGGTACTCAGCTTTGGATTGTTTCCAAATTCCTAAACTTCCATGTTGTGAAACTTAATAATGAAATAAATGCACTCTACCTACCCCAGGCACTGTGAAATTAACTTAGAGAGGAAGTGCTCTTTGCTTAATTAATTTCAATAATTTTCGACCTTTACAAATCTTGCTGTTAGTCAAGGATGTTTGAAGAGAAGAAATCAGGATAAATATATGGTAGAATAAAATTTGTTTTGTTTCAGTTCAGGAATAGTGGTCTTGGACTTGTCTGTTATACCCTTATGTTAACTATCAAAGAAACGGAATTTAAGACATATTAAATATACTAATAGATTCCATATGGAAAGTTTTTAAAAGCTAATGTTTAAATTTCTATCAAGTAGGGAATAGGATGAGGTTCATTATATGTTCATTCTCTGGGTAAATTAAGTATACTCAATTATTCATGCATTCCTTCTTTTATATAGTCTTGAACAAATAGCCAGTAAACAGGTAAGGAATTTTAGAGACATAAGGATTGAGAAGTCACTCTTATTCCATAAGGAGATCTTAGTAAAAGAAAGAGGGACATATGAATGGGTAATTCTCACATTATGTGTTGGATGCTACAAGAATCAGAAAAAAAAAAAACAGGAAATTTTAACAAAAAGGAAATGATGCTCTTTGGGTTGGATCCATAGAAAAGACACTTGAGATGAGTCCTGGCTAGTGGTTAGTAGGACATGAGGACTTGAAGGGTGTTCCCTCAACAGAAAGAAATGTACAGCAATGTGACACAGTTTGGTAGGTTCAGCAGATTATTCATATTTTTGACTCAGTCGTATCTTTGATTAGAAAGCATCTGAGTGGGAAGAGGTAGGAAGGATGAAGATAGAGAAGATATGACCAAAAAATGTAGGGAAGAAGCCCATCAAATGGCAATCACATAATATTAAGAATTTTGAGGGTTTTTTTCCTCGAAGCTATTGAAGAATTTATGACAGAGGAAGGCAAGGTCACATTTGGATGTTAGAAATGCCTCTGAGATAGGAGAATGAATTTCCAGACACAGTTAGCAAAGTATTGCTGTTCTTTAGCAGTTGGCTCTTGTGGGCCTGGATACATGGAGTAGCAGAAGACTTAGAGAAGTCATGAAGAGAGTGGATTCTATAGCACTTAATGATCAAAAAGTTTAGGAGGGGTTGAGGTTGTGGCTCAGCGGTAGAGCGCTCGCCTAGCACTTACGAGGCCCTGGGTTTGATCCTCAGCACCATAAAAATAAACAAACAAATAAAATAAAGACATTTTAAAAAATTAAAAAAAAATTCTAGGAGACAAGGGAAATTGAGATAGACTCTTGAGTTTGGGCCTTCACAATTTAGAAAAATTGAAACAGTATGATGTACAAAAATTATCAAAGTGTGAATATGTGGTTTCCTGACACAGGTGAAATGCATGTGCTCATTAAATAATATGTGTGAAACCAACTTTGTCTGGACCGGACTGGATTTTAGGTATCCTTGAGATGACCCTCTGGAAACATCAAGTTGCTAGGAAGTGAGGTGTCATCACCAGATGCCTATTTGAGAATCTTCAACAGAGTGGAAGACATTTTGAAAGGAGGTTAACAAAAGACAAGCATGAAGAGTAGGGAGAGTAATAAACCAGATTAGAACCCTGGAAGACACTGAGGAAGAGGTTGGTGGAGGAAGGAAAGCCAAAAGAAAAAAGCCTAGGAGGTATATTACCAAGAAGGAGGAGAAGCCAGTGGACTGACTAAGGGCCCCAGAGGTGGAAAAGAACAGTCTCTTCCTCTTGTTCATGCAAGGCTACATTAAAGCCAATCATCAGTTCACAGGCAGAAACCCTGTTACTAGCTCCTGTTATATTCCTCACAACCTTTATGCTGTTTTATTATAAAGATATAAATATAGATATAGAACACACATATATAGAAATATATATATACACACACATGCACACATATATGTGTGTATATACATGTACACACAGAATACATATACACCCACAAACACAGGTATTAATAAATAAACACATGTATTAATAAATGTTTCTCTTAGAAAACAATAGTGCTAAACTATAAGAACCATCTGACCTAGTCTCTTTGAGTAATAAAAACTATATGAAGTGAAATTGAAAGATTTGTTTAAAAAAAAAAGAAAGTGGTAAATACAATATAAGTAATTTCAAGTACAACATAAGAAAATGTAACTTGTTGATAATGCAAACAAAATGAGTTTCTTTCGTGCAGCCAGAAAGCAAAACCACTTCACATCAACGTACCTTCCTTCGTTCACCATTGATTCCTCTCCATTGCTGGGATCTTTTTACTATGTAACTTAGCTCCTGATTGGAAATCTCCAAATCATAGGGAATGAAGAACTTGGATTCTTCACTGTGGATACGCTGAAATGCATCCAATATCCAAGAGTCACTGTGCAACCTAAGAATAAAAGCATCTGTTATCTGTTTTTCCTTCTTCCAAATCTTACTTTTACTTTCAAAGTCTTAAATTGTACCTTTTTTATCAATTTCTGTTTATTTAATTCATTTGTTCTTTTTCCCAGAAATCTAAGATAATTCAAATTCCAGAAATTATTTAATACTTTTATCAGCTAAATATTATAACTCATCCAAAAAGCAAATTTGATTGTTTTTGCAGTTATTTCCTACAAACTTATTGATTCTGATTGTTGATATCTAAGTAAAGACTTCAAAATATGAAGACAGACTTGACCATTTATGGGATTGTGGATATCCAAATTAGTTCAAATACTAGGAATTTGTCTAAAGAAATATTAAATTTGGATTTATACTTCCTCCATGAGTTGGTTTTAGTGTCCCCCAAGATAGAAACTCCATTAATTCCTTGATTTTTAAGTAATATTTAGATGAGTTTTCTAGACACTAATTAGATGCATGCTTATGACTTTTCCATTAGGTACCCTTAACCATAGAAAAGAGAAAAGGTGTTACTATCCTTAATCCACCATTTATTTTAAAATATGTTTTAATTTTCAAAATATTGAGTGAAATTGAAAATCTGAGGAAATTCCATATTTATCACTCACTCATTTTGTATACCTGGAACTAATCCAACAAGAAGAGTTTTACCATGCCACTAACTGTCCATAGGATAGACCAAGAACCCTAATGTGTATCAATAAACTACCATTTTTGTACCAGGGATATTCAGGGTGCTTAACCACAGATCCAGCCACATCCCCAGCCTTGTGTGTGTGTGTGTGTTTGTGTGTGTGTGTGTGTATGTATGTATGTATGTATTTTTTTTTACTTAGAGACACAGTCTTTCTAAGTTGCTTAGGACCTTGCTAAGTTGCTTTGAATTTGCAATCCCCCTGCTTCAGCCGCCAGAGCCTCTGGGATTACAGGCATGTGCCACTGTGACCGGAGAGAATTAAATCTTTTAATAATGCCTAAGGCATAAATCACACTATCCAGATATTTAGGCATCCCATAGAAGTGCCTTTCTACACATTCGAAGTGGAGAATTCATGGACAGTAATTTTTGTTCTGATGGTCAGAACAATTAGATTTTGCTTTAGTGGACAGAATATTTTTTTTACTTCCCATTATAATGGCAACTTCACATCCATTGTGTGATTGGAGCCTTACCTTAATCCTGCCTTTTGCACATTAATACTAAGATTAAACAAAGTTAGCCATACTGTCTACAGGTAACAGACAGAATCCAAACTCAGGGATAACTATTAAATGTATTTCATTCCATAATGTTGAGTTCAAATAACTGATGCAACTAATATCTTTGGTTCACTCACTACCTCTACCTTGATTCTTTCAAAATAGTAAAATAGACTTTTTGACTCTCACAGTAAAATAGGGTCTGTGTGTCTTTTTTATTTCTTAACCATTTTGCATTCCACTCAATGAAAATAATCACAAACTGCCACTCTGCATAATTGATAACCCAGGACAGACTATATGCCCTTGAGGGCGCAAACAGGGATTTGCGCATGCTCAGCAAGCCATCTATTGCTGAGAAACGCCCCCATCCCGCCTACTACCATCTTGAATACACCAGTAGGTGGATTTTGTGCTGTTTGGAGAGTCTAGGTCAGCCATTCGAATGATTTACTAGTTGGCTTGTTAAACAAGAACTAGTCTTCGCCATTCTCTTAAGCTTGTTTAATGTAACGTTCACCTTTTTTTTTTCTTTTAATGGTGATAAGATTTAATGTAGTTAAATTACTGTCAATTTGCTGCCATAAACATTTTCTATATGAAGATTTTAAGTGCAGGATTATCAACAATGCAATTAACTTTGAATTAATTAGGAATCACAGTCCTGTTTCTGCGGGCTTCTGTTCCTTTTGCCCAGAAAATGTCTGTCTTGTTTTTATTTCTCTTTCATTCTGTGTGAAAGAATAATTATGTAAACATCCAAGCCTGGATCTACAGGACTGTAAACAAATGTTTTGACAGAGAACGAAGTGGCACATTGGAATATGGAAAGCTGTACAAACATTAATTGCATTTTACTTAAAAAATTTTTTTTTTTCCATTTTGGATGGTATTTTCTGGTGGAAAGCTCGATGAAGGGTTGTTAATGAAATTTACTAACCTTTATTCGTTTTAGCATATTTTAAAGCTCTTTATAGCCAGCTTACTTATCACACAAGGAAAAAGCAGTCTATGGTTACAGATGCAAAATAAAAATAAACAAACTGAACATCAATAATTAAGTAATTTTTGATTATATAATTAGTCAAGTAATGGAACACCTATATAATGTGAAACACTTGATTCTATTGGATAAAAGGGTATTTTATCCTTTTGTGTAATTTTGATCCTCCACCTTTTTGGTCCTCTTTGGAAAGTTAGAGTCCAACATTATTAGGTAAATTTCTGAAAAATACAAATAAACAATGTGAAAAAGTTTCAATTTTATAAACATATTGGTGACATTGATGAAAGAGAAAGGAAAAAACTATTCCCTCTGTAAGTACAGCATGTGAGTCATATGATTCTGATCCACTTGAGAATAATTCATTATTCTCAAGTGGATCAGAATCATACACATACACATTTTTACTCATTTTCTGCCATTTTAGATGTATATATGTGCATATGAAAATATCAAACTGAATTATATAAAATTTAAGCTATTGGATCCTATATGAGAGGACAAAAAGAAAAGCACAGATGAAATATTTTTTAACAATTAGTGGATCTGGAAGAAGATTATACAAGTCCATTGTAGAACTCTTGCAGCTTTTGTTGGCTTGAGTTGTCTTTTTTTTTAATAAAAAAGTGAAAATTTTATTCTATTCAAGTATATGTCGTAATATGGTAATGGTTACAAATGTGGATTTCCTTTAACAATATAATGATTCAATGGCTGAAAAAATTTTGTTGCTTTTAAATTATTTCTTCAAAATGTAATTAAAAGAGAAACTACATTCCACCTGTCTGCAAAGCCTTAGGCATGATTGTTTATAGAAATAGGTCACATATTATGCCACAGGTTCCGATGATGGCCAATGAAACAAAGCAATTTACCAAGTCCTCTGCCCTGTGTCCTACATTTGCGGCAATTCATTGCTTGGTGAGTGGCAGAAGCTATTATGTTTGGTTCACATCTGAATGTGGGTCATTTACAGAAACCTAGTATGTGACATTTCTTTTAAAGCTAAAAAGGACAAGTGTGAACATTTAGCTACTGTACTACTTTAAGGGTCACGAAAAGGATGGAATCTATGACTTTGAATAGCTCTGGATGCAAATATGTATCTGAAAAAGAAGAATCAAACGTAATTGTTTCCTTCTAACTCCAAAAGTTGCAGGCACATTTGTTGGTGTGACTTTACACATGTGGTAGTCAATGTGGAAATACTTGTTTGTTCATAGTCATATCAGAAGGACACAAGGACAGCTCTGAAAAGGGACAGCATATAAACAATCAAACTTTTTTTTTTTGGTGTCACCAGCCCCTTCTTGCTGAAATCTATTCTCATTTTTTCACACGTTGAAGCCCACTTACTCCTTAGCAGAACTATTGAACACTTTAAATGAGGTGACTGACACACAAGCCGTAGGTATGAATGCAGTTTTTGTTGATTTTCCAGAAATCCTCAGATGCCCTCCATTCTGTTTAAGAGTGATTGAAATTCACATGACTTTGGCTTGAAATCATACTAAATAGAGGAAAAGAGAAACACAAGGGAGGATCTATAGAGAAAAGAAGGCAAAGAGCATTTCAGGAAAAGGAGAAAGAGGGGCTGGGGCTATGGCTCAGCAGTAGAGCACTTGCCTTGCATGTGTGAAGCACTGGGTTTGATCCTTGGCACCACATAAAAATAAATAAACAAAATAAAGGTATAAACAAAAGAAAAAGAGAAATTCAGAAAATGAAATTGTCCATAGGGTGGGAAGTGGTCTGAGACCCTCCCCTTGCTTCTTTTTACAGAGTCCTGTCCTCCGTGTCCAGTTATGAGAACAATGTCCTCCAAGGTATGTGTGGCCTCAAGGTTGAATGAGAAAATCATCCTCATTAGTTTCTTCACACAGTTACCGCAACTTCGGGGAATATGAGGGATGGGTCACAACCAGTAGGGGTAAGACAAGGACTCCAGAAAGGTGTCACAGTGCTAAAGGTGGAGGTGACATAGTGATGTAAAGAGCACAGGACCTCACAGCAAGGCAGGACCCAGGTCCATAGAGCACTCACAGTACGAGCAATAGGAAGGTGTTATATGGGCTCAAGCAAGAAGTGATGTTTTCTTGTGGCTTAAAAACCATGACAGTTAGAGCAAAGACAGCCTATTGAGAAAGAAGGAGTAGAAGAAGAAGAAGAAATATAACCTTACCCATTGGGGTGGGGGTCGTGTTAAAGTAAGTCAGGGAGGAGACTGGACATACTTTATAGATAGATCTTCAGCAGATGGTGGCTATGGTGGCTGAGAGAGAGAATTTCAAGACAACACCAGGGTTTCTTCTCATTTTTCTTTTTGTCTTTCTCTCCCTCCTCCTCCTCCTCCCTTCTCCCTTCTCTCACCCTCCCTCTCCCCTCCTCTCATTGGATGTAGATGGTGATCTATCCCATTTGCTGGGACAGGGAATCCTAAATGAAGAGAGATTTGAAAAAGGAGACTGTGGCTTTCTTTTCCAGATGTTGATTTTGAAGTCCCTTTGGAGCCTAAATGTGACGTGGTTGACATTAATTGAAAACTCTAAGTTGCTATGCTAAATTTGGATTTACCTTGAATTATAGTCAATATTAATATTATTGAATAAACACCTGTAATACACATTTTTGTACACTTTAATTGTATTCCTCAAAGTTTTAAGACTGATTTTATTATCCATGTTTTAAAGATAAAGGAGCAGGGTCAAAAGACACCTCTGCCAAAGGACACAAAACAGGCAAGTGACAGGCAGGCTCAAGTCATTCTGTCCCCCTTC